GCCAGCAGTTATATAGCTTAGTGAAAGGCATTTCCCTGCAGTGGGGAAAGATAACATAGCCATAGTCCAGAATATAACATCAAAGCAATCTTAAGAACTCCCATCTTTTTGGCACTTGGCTTGCTTTATGTCTGTGAAAAAAAAAAAGATTCTCCTTAATCTGATTGAGAAGTTATTAACTTGTCAGAATCTTCTTAGCCCAGGGGTGGACCACCTTTTTATAGCTAAAGCTGTGCTTTCAATGTTATTTGTGTTTCATTTGGTCACTGAAGCCTTTGGGAAGCATTATATTGATATGACAGCATCCCAGGGGGACAGCAGTAGAATTGTAGTCCCTTCTGCTCTTTTTTGGGGTTGGAAAGATTAATAAAGTAGGATACTAAATATAGACTGTAACAGATGATCATAGCCTAAACACAGGGGGAATCTGTAGTCTATTAAACTTGGGTTGTCCACTCCATTCTATATATTTAAAAATCAAGGACCTTTCAAAATCTCTTTCTCCCATCTTACCATAGTGACTTAATGATTGTTTTCCTCCGTTGTTCTTCTTTTTTCTGCTGTTCTCCTTAAACTTTTTAAAAATGAAGAGGCTTACTGTGAACAGTAACTCCTGTACAGTAGGAAGACAATACCTTCATCTCCACCATCCTGGTATCTTGAAGGGGTATACAGAAATCAAATGGACAATGTTATTGCTAAAAGCAGTTGAAAGAGCTCAATTATGGTACCAAAAATAAGGCCAGGAGCTAATTGTGTGTACTGATCATGTGCAAATTTATCTTGGAAGCTAAAGAAGAAGAAGAAGAAGAAAAGCCAAGTCATTCCCACAATATGATCTTGAGCATATAACCACTATTTTCAAAGAAAACATCAGGAATTGTTTTGCAGTCCTGAACCTCATTGATTGATAAACTGGAATAAACTGATCAAAGTTGTTAGTGATGAATACGAAAAAAGACTGTCAAAGGTGAAGAAACCAAACTGGATGTCAGAACTGTGGAATTGCCATGAGGAAAGAGAAGCCAAAGTTAAGAAAGCCAAAAAAATTAAGAAAGGAACTTAATAAAGAATGTCCGAGAACTTTTATAAGAGACAAAAAACAGCATTACAATAACTTCTGTAAAGATATGGAAAACGGAAACACACATGGAAAAAACAAGGGAAGTCTTCCATCTCTGAACTCAAAAGAGGCTTCCAATTTTAAGGTGTTACGTTAAACAATGCCATTTCTTCCACATAGTTGGAGTGGCCTTCTCATTGTTCAGCTTCTGGGAAGCCAAATAGTTCCTCTTATTTACAAGGAAGAGACTCTGTGATAAGGAACTACAGCACAATATCATCTGAAGTGAGTCAATTTGCTGCTACCATGCTAAGCAAGCAAGGATTTGAAGAGTTGTCACTGGCTGAAAAACACGGGTGACACCTCTAATCATTAGACCACTGTTTTGGTCATTACTGTATAGTGTAGAGCAGGGGTCTTCAAACTTGGTCCTTTTATGACTTGTAGACTTCAACTCCCATAATTCCTCAGCCAGCTTGCCTTAGATTTTGGAGGTCTGAGTGTTTTGCATCTTTTTAGATAAAAACTGAAATTATTTTTAGGGCTGATGGGATTGTCAAACTGCATTTCTCACATCTCTATTTAAGTCAATTTATTTTCACATTCATTTGTGTTTTTTTTTAAAGTCTGCCTGAATTTTTTTTAATGAATCTTGCATCCATATATGTGAGCTGTATATGCTGAAATATATTATTTTTCCAAGCGTATTTATCAAATTTCATGCACATTTAGTCTAGTTTTTCCAATATAAAGTTTTGGGTTTAATTTTTTTTTTCATTTTTATGTGATATTTATATTTGGGTGTAACTTTGTTTTGCTTTTTTTCAGAAGATCTCTTTTCAAAATTCAGAAAAGTATAACTACTTGAACAATTATATTTTCGGGGCGGCAATTTTCACCAACTGGCCTTCTGACCCCTGAGAAAGATCATTTGGGGGATTGAAGCACATACATTTTTGAGCATACATTATTTGGGGGATTAGAAAATATTTGCAAATTACTTAATACAAATGATTCCTCATCAGGAAGACAAAAGAGTCTTATCCTGACTGGCCCTATTTAGAATTATTGATTTCCTAAGGTCCTGAAATTATAGGAATTGAAGTCTGGCATATGTACCAAAGGTGCTTTTTCAAAAGGCAACTGGACTTTGTTTTTGCTTGAAGACATTTGAGTCAACCATGGACCTGGATGACTGAGAATCTCCATAGACATCTGGCATATGTAGAAGACACTACATTAGGTGGAAACACAGCTTACACACAAGTGCTTCACATCAATTTTAAATATAGTGACCTTCAATGACACCTGTTCACATATAAGTCATCTGTTCCTGATAAATCAAGTACAGAGAGTCCTCAACTTAGAAGGATTTGTTAAGTGACCATTTAGAGTTAGAAAAGTATTTTAAAAAGTGGATTGTGACTGGTCCTCGCACTTAACGATTGTTGCAGCATCCTCACAGTCATGTTATCAAAAACTGAGCAACTGGTATGCATTTGTGACAGTGGGAGTGTTCTGAAATCACACCAGTGCCATTTCCCAGCCCGCTCCCAACAAGCAAAGCCAATCAGGGAAGCAAGATTTACTTAACAACCACATGATTCACTTAACAAACGCAGTGATTTGCTTAATAACAGTGGCAAAAAGGTTGTCAACTCAGGCATGACTTACTTAACAACTGTCTTGCTTAGCAATGGAAATGCTGGTCTCAACCATGGTCATAAATTGAGGATTACCTGTAATGTAGTTCATGCATGCAACTAGTTTAGTGTACAGTTTCTTGTAAATAGCTTAGAGATCACACGGTTCAGGTTAGGGTAAGGATCATCTTCTGTTTCGGCTTCCATCGCTTTCAGTACAGGCACTGATGTGATTTGGTGATGGGGTTGTACGATTTAGTGCTTTTGATCTTGTTTTAACAATGTATGTTAGGCTGGGATATTATTGAAAAATAAAGTATCAGGACCCTCACTTACCACATAATTTCTCTCTGTTTGAACACTAGCAGGGTCAGCATAAAAAAATTATGCCATCCAGGCTTGCTTTCAGAGTGATGGGTAAATTCATGTGGATTGAACTGAAATGTAATTCAGGTCTGTTAGCGCTTGATCTGCCACCCTTTTTATGGATGCTTTGGTCATCAAAAGAACCCAAAATTGGGAGGAGGAGATATGCAGTCAGCCCCAGGGAAAAGAGGAAAGTGGAAGAGTAAGAATATAACACATTTGAATAGAAAAACAAGGATCCTGTGTTGCTTTAAAGGCAAATGAATGAATTATAGTGGAAAGTTTTGTGGATCGCTATTTAGATCATCCTTTAAACGCTGCAATATGTTAAGGAGAAAACTATTTATTAATCTTTAAGATACCCCAACTTTCTTCTTTTTTTTAAAAAAAAAAATGCCATACAAATCCTCATAGCTTTCTTTGGGGGGGGGGGATGGAAACCTCTTCTGAAAGTGACCGGCTGCCAAGCCACATAATGCTATAATGCTTACCTGGGAGTAAGTAAGCCGTACTGAGCAAGAAAGGCTACGATCGGGTTTTGCAGGTTCCCCCACCCAAGCCTTTCACTCTCTTCCCTTTTCTACTGGTGCGACCCTGGGTTTTCCTTTTTTTGACCTTGAATCCAGCTGGAGGCGCAGCGCCCGCTTCTCTCTCTCTCTCTCTCTCTCTCTCTCTCTCTCTCTCTCTCTCTCTCTCTCTCTCTCTCTCTCTCTCTCTCTCTCTCTCTGCCTTCTAGCAACGATCCTCTCCCGTGCCGTCTCCACGGGCTTCAAGGGCCTTTTGTAACTGGACTGCTTCCTGGTCATTCCGGCTATAGCTCCCTCCCTGTCGCCTCCCGCACCTTGCTACAGCCTCTTCGGATCGCTTCCTTCCCGTCATGCAAGAACAGAGGTACCTCGGGAGCCTTTGGGAGGCTGCATCAGCTGACCGGGTCTGCAGCAGAGTCAGGATGACAACCCGATTGCAGTATTTTGATTGGGGGGGGGTTGGAGAGAGAAGGTCTGCGGCGAGGAGAGTTCCACTGAAGGACGGAAAAACTCCCCGCCCAACTCAGAAGCACCCACCGTTTTTTTCAACCAGCTTCCCCCCCACCCCGGTTGGGAGGGGGGGTCTTTCTTTCTTTTTGTTTCTCCTGCCCCCTTCTTTTCTGAGCCAGGCATTCTCCCGTCCTGGTTTACTTTGTTTTTTTGACACGCCCCGCGAAAGGCTGCGTCTCGACAGCTTGACAAACCTCAAATAACAGCCATACTGTACCGTTAACCTTCAGACGCCCCTTTGGGGAAGGAACGTGGGGATGGGAGGGGCGAGGCAAAGCACGCTGCGAAATCGTTACACCATCAGCAGCAGCTCAAGGGGGATCCTTCCGTAATGCATCAGAAGGCCCTCTCTGTAACCGGCTTTCCAGGCTTTCTATATTCATCTCCAGCTTTTATTTTTTTGTTTCTTCTTCTTTTCTATCCTAGCTTTCTTTTCCGTGCCAGATGTTGAGACTCCCGAGAACATAACGCAGAGTAATCGCGCGTGGCTTCCGAGAGGCTTTGCACAAAAACTGCTGACTTGGCTCCCCCTGCCCTTCCTCCCCCCCCCACTTCTAGTCCCGCAAGCTATTAAAGAAAATAGAAGATGTGTTCCGCTCAGTAAATGATCTATTCTCGCCTTTCAACCCTGCCCTGTTAAAACAAGTTTTTTTAAATAAAATAAAATAAAAATAAAGAGTTCAGGTTATAGGTTACCCTAGGTCCCCCCCTCCCCACCTTCCCAGCCGTTTCCCCTTATCCCCGCCTGTAGGTATGAGATAGGCAGATTCCTGCGGCAAGAGGAGTTGCTATAAGCTTTTGCAACCCCTTTCCATGGGATGGTGGAGTGGCGCAAGTGTGTGTCTGGGGGGGGGGGGGAGGCATCGGCGAATGCTATGCGAGAAATGCCGATCCAGCAGCCTCGGTAGAGCGGGAGGAGGAGGAAGAAGAAGAGGAGGAGGAGGACAGAGCCGTCGTTGTGTGTAAGGAGGGAATAGTGTCAGTGGGATGGTCCGGAAATCCCGTGATAAAAAGAGGGAGTAGTGAAAGTAAAGGCACTGTGGGCTCGTTCGTTCTCCGCTACTGGCTCACGGTCGCGCCCGAACCCTATTGGAAGGAGAGAACTTCTTACGTCCGCTCCTATATCCTTCAAACAGAAGCTTTAGCTTCTGAGGCACACATGGAATCGGCCACAGCTTGATCTGCTGAGAAAAGAGGAAAAGCAGCTTTTTTGCCTTAGCTGCGACTTAAAGGGAACGCGGAACTGCTGGAGCGCAGCCACCGAGAAAGGTACCCCCTCCGCACATCCCAAACCCCATCTTTAAAAAGGGACGATGCTGTCCAGGGTGCTGATGCTTTCATATTGTTCTGTAGCGTATCTTTAGTTATACCGCTCGGATGCGAGGAAGTGTCCTTGGTGCTGATCACTCTCTTTCTTCTCCTTCAAATACCTTGTTGTTCAGAGCAGCCCCACGGAGTCGGAATTTCCCCTCTCTCGCTGTACAGTGGTGGTGGTGGTTTGCTTGACTTTATGATTGCATAAATTGGTAGCTGACTGTGCAGAAGAATTGGGAAAGTATCGTGATGGCTCTATGGGACAGTGATTTAGTGTATATAGTGCACATAAAAGCCTCTCAAAAGTGGAGCTGCAGGCACTGGCAGTGGGCTTCCCGTGACACTCTCTAATGATACATTATTATTTTAATGCCTTAAGCAAAACAAAAACTTCCACCCCAATTGTTATTTGCAGTGGTGATGGTGATGTATGTAGTGTCACTACAACCTCGTTGGAATTTGAAACATGTACCTCTTTGGTGCAGGAACTGATCCACCCCACCACTAATGTATAATTCTTCAGTCACAGAAGTTTTCAGCTACAAAATGGTTAATTGGTGCAGCACTATATTTCCTCTTTATAAAATCTCACTAGGTCCTCTTTCCTTTCTTTTTTGGGAAAATGTATCTTAATTAGGTCTTTTCAGTTGCATTCTTTTTAAGTTAGATTTAATCATTGTTGCTTTGCTTTGGAATAATTTGTAGTATGTTTTATTCTCTCTGCAGAATCATGGGAGAAGGGATATCATTGGCTAAATTTCGTATTCCTTTTTTATAGACTTATCTACTTTTGGAGTTTTGTGCATGAGAATTCATAATAACATTGATTTGCAAGTTCACTGCCTTAACTTTGTTGCTACAATCTGAAATTCTGTGCCACAATGACTATAATCAAATCCATTGTGCTAGTCCAAAGAAAACTTCTGAACGATGTTATAAAGATATGTATGAAAATCTGTGTGTTTTGGAGGAGAGAGATGATTAGCCTAGCTTTTAGCTCTCCCTTGCATTTGTGATAGTGATGTCAGTTTCAAATAATGGCATATTTTAACATTTATTTGGTGTTTAACTAGTTTGACTAGAGTGATTGTTCTAGCGAGTGATGCAGATGAGGCTGGCCATTAGAAGCTACTAGCAGAGAAGGCTGCTGCTGAGAATTCCAAGAGCATCAGCACTTCAACCTTCAAATGCCCCCCAGACTGCCTCCGTTTTGAAGTGCTATCCCTTCCCCACTTCTGGGCATTTTCTCAAGCAACCCCTCAGGATGACTGAAGTTTAACTTTGTGTCAGATAGGAAAGAACTAAATCCTATGATTTTTGCATTGAACTTTAGGGCTCCTTATAATAGCACAATCTGAAAAAAATGGAAAAAGAAGTCAGGAAAATCCCATGAAATAGTCAGTTTGGAAAATTGATTAAGATAGAGAAAATACCCATGTTCATCTGGCTTTTTTTTAAAAAAAAAAAAAAAACTAAATTCTACTGGGATTTATTTTCTTTTATTGCAAAAGTCAGAGTAAATAGTACCTAAATTCCGATTTTACTCCCTATAAATTCAGGCTATCCCATGATAATATAGCAGCACAACATTATACCATTTATCAGCCTTCCTAAAGTGCATTTCACAGATTATGTTACACATTCTAGCTATCCAAAGCCTGAGCAACTAACTTCGGTGTGAGACATGCTGTGTGCATTTTCTGTATGCATATACACCAAGGGTTTTCAACCTAGCAGATTTCTTAAAAGACAAGTAGCTCCATTGCAGTAGGACTAAGAAAGAGAGCTCTAGCCACCCTAATGCTTTTTCTCACTTGCTTTGTGAATTCAGCTGCAGGCTAAACCTCAGGAATTTGTCTCCACCTGACTTGCATGTGAGAACTGCTCTGGTGGGAAGGAATCTAAAGCCATCATCATGGAATTTGTAATGAAACAAGCTTTAGGAGGTAAGAATTAAATTGTGTTATTGAGTAATTGCTTAATGGGTTGAAGGAATTGTAAACCGTCAACATGATATATATATGACAAAAGCCAGTTGATGTGGTGGGTGCTGTTGCGCATGACCTGGATTCATGACTTTTCCTCTGCAGTGAAGTTCACATAGCGAACAATGCAGATTTCCTATTGACAGTTTTGGTGAAAAGAACCTTGGTCTGCCTCACCAAACTACTAAGTGGAATATACAATCAATTTACATTCCCCCTTTACCTTCCTCTCTCCCAATACATTGTGTAAACTTTAAAAATTTCATAGATCATTTATGTTTTAGGTAGGTGAAGCATTATTGCATTATTCAATTTTCAATCCAGTAGGCGGCAGTAGTGAGAACTCTGTCAAGCCTATGAACATTTCTGAATGATTTACCCTGAATGCAGAAATATATATTTCTTCTACTATGGGTCCACCAGTGATTCCTCCAAATGAATCAAATAAGTGTACATTTTATTATGGGAGAGGAAAAAAATTGCAGTGTAAGATTGAACATTTTAAATAAGTTAAACAACTGCTTTCCTTCAAGGAACAGGATAACAGCGAACCTAATTTTACAAAGAACTAAAGGGCTCTGGCTTGGCACACATTTTTAGCTCACCCAACAAGTTCAAAATTTCTCCAGGTTCTTAAGGAAAATTCATATCAGTCAAACTGCTTTTAAGTTGTTTGCTAGCTGCAACATTCGGAATTTTGATAACAGGGATGTATTGACATGGAACATTGCAATAAGAAATCCTGTGCAGCTTGTTAATGATAGTTTTTGTGAATTGTTTCGGTCACTGTCTAATCTTTTAATGGTTGTCCTATTACATCTGTGGGTCATGGAAAAAAGAAGGTATCCAGAGACTGAATAAGAAAATGCAGCTGAGAAAACTGTTGGATGACATTGCTATTTTGAGTGTCTTTATGGTAGACTCTTTCTCCTTCAACCTCCTCCAGTACATTATATAGAGCATATTTTAAAATGCTCCTCCATTGATCGGCATTTCCAAATCCTATTAAGCCTTGAGTTGAAAGACTCAGTCAGTTTTTCAGATGGTTTGCAAGTCATGCTGGTTTTGATTTTGTTCCACCTCAAGATTTATCCCGTTAATGGTAGGACTGTTGTTTATGTTATGCTGTGTGAACGCAGTTTGCAATGTAAACACATTAAGAAGCTATTTACTTCATCAGTCTCATTTATATTCAATTTAAATTTGCCTTATATACAAGGAAAATAAGCATTTTTAAAAAAAAATTTTCAAGTGATATAAATGAATAGTGAGCTCCTCAAAACTGTAAGAGAACAATATTTATTTTCCATTTTGTTTGACTGCCATTATATCTCTAGTTAGGTGCAGAAATCTCATTTCATTCAAATTCCTTTGAAAGAACCTCATTCTTGGAATGGAAGTACATAACATGATTCAGCTTTTTATGGGTAGAGCTACTACATCCATAGGAAAGGACTGACAATGGACCCTGGAGGGTCTTTTCCCTGCATGGCTCCCCATCAGCATAAATATTTCATTGAATTTGGTCATTGCAGAGATAAACAGGCATACCGGAAACCAGTCTCCTGATTGGTATCTTGGCCCAAGAATTAGCAAGGTAGTAAGGAAGTGGGTCCATTAAACCCTATTCTTTTTTTCTGGAAAATGCCAATAATGATTTTTGTGTGTGTGTGGGGGGGAGGTTGTTCCTTTTTATTCTGTTTTTTTTAAAGTTTTTTTATTAATAAAACAGTTAAAACAAAAAAGGACATAACGTGTCGTTCCAGTATATATAATCCTAACAATTTGTTCCTTGTCATACTTATAATTCCTACTCTTTATATATACATGTTTTCCTATATAATACAGTCTCAAATTTGTTTCTCTCTATACTAGCATACAGTTTTATATACCACAATCTTAACACTAACTTAAAGCCCAAACAGTTCTCTTGACTCGTACCAGTAATAAAATTTGTCCCAGATTTCAAAATAGTCCGTTTCTGTCTTGTCCTTTAATTCCATAGTAAGCCTGTCCATATCAGCACACGATAAGATTTTATGTAGAATCTCTTCTTCTGTTGGAATTTCTTTATTTCTCCAGTTTTGTGCGTAGGCCAATCTGGCAGCCGTGAAGATATGCAACATTAAGTAAAGTGCCCCTTTATCGTATTTCTGCGTGGTAATACCTCGTAAGAGGAGTTCTGGTTTTAGCTCTACCTCTGTCATTAGTATTTCTTCTAGCCATTTTTTTAACCTTGTTCCAAAAGTCACGGGCTTTCGGGCACTCCCATGTTCCCTTTTATTCTGTTGAAGTGCAAATATAGCAATTGCATCACTGAACACGGCAACCTTTCAAATTTTATGCTGACATTATTTTCACTGCTGAAATTTCAAGTACACCTATTGAGGAGACTGCTAAGATTTTTTTTTTTAAAGAGGGATAAACCTCCAAATAAAAATGTTTCTGATGTTGGATTTTCACAATCCCATCGTAGATCTATTTAGACCAGGAATGGATCCTCCTGTTCCATAGAACCCCAAATAGAGGAATGTTGACAGGTGATTCTCCATTCTTGAACACATGCAGTGAAAGAGAGTCTACGACCTGCCTAGGTAACTCTTGCTCTCCCATGAGGATTTTATTTCTTGACATTCAAAAAGAAGGTGTCTTCCTAGAATGAAAAATGGTTTAATTGTGGTGATGCAATCTGAGGTGGTAAAGATGAGATCGAGTTCTTCCTGGGTGCAACAACTTGAAGAACATAAACACACATTCAGTGGGCAGGATAGGAAAACTACACTGGAAATTATAGAACTCTTCAAAGTAGTAGTGCTAGCCTAAAAGGGAATAAGATAATATTGGAATAATAGAGAAGAGGAACTTACGTCCTCCAGGTGTGTCACTTAACTATATCTACCAGCATTTTTAATTAATGCTAACTGGAATTTCTGGGAACTACACTTTAATCTCTCCTTGCACTTTGTTAAGGAAGATTGATAAAGTATTCTGCTTGAAAAGAAGCCTGTTCCAGGAACAGAATTTATTTTTTAAAAAATCAGAATAGAATAGAGCTGAAAGGGACTTTGGAGGTGTTCTAGTCCAGCCCCCTGCTCAAGCAGGAGAAACCTATACCATCTCATACAAGTGACTGTCTAGTCTCTTCTTAAAAATCTCCAGTGATGAAGCGCCCACGATTTCTGGAGACAAACTGTTCCACTGATTAATTGTCCTCAGTGTTAGGAAGTTTCTCCTTAATTCCAGGTTGCTTCTCTCTTTGATCAGTTTCCAACCATTGTTTCTCGTCCTTCCCTCTGGTGCTTTGGTGAATAACATGACCCCTTCTTCTTTGTGGCAGCCCCTTAAATACTGGAATACCACTATCATGTCTCCCCTATTTCTTCTTTTCTTTAGACTAGCCAAACCCAAGTATAGTATCAGTATAATAAATCTGTCAAACTTTAGCAAGCACTGCTCCTTTTATACATACATTGTGACTGTGTATTCACATACAAAGGGGTGGAGCTTGTGCTATGATAAAAAAACATAGTATTGTTTTCATCATTGTGATAAAATCACTGAAGATATTCATAGCATGTCCTTCTTGATATATTGTGCCTTGATTTTATTATTTGACACCTATAAATTTATATCTATTCATTGGTGCTGAAGATTGCTTTTAAAATTATTCATTATTTCTTTTTTCATAACATTTTCTTCTATGGACTCTTTTGCATAATTATATCCAACAACTGAGGGGTTTTTTTTAAGGCCTTTTGGTCTTCTTGTGATTTTCTTCTGAGGCTAACAGCCTTGCTTGGATTTCACTAGGAATTTTAGATTGTAAGAGATATCATTTTTGTATATTGGGTTGAGTTAATTACTTATAGTATGCTTACAGTAACCCCCATGAACTCAATAAAACTTAAAATAAATATATTCTAATCATGATTGAATCCAACCCACTACTTTATCCTGAAGCTAGTGACATAATTTATGGGGTTTTTATTTGACAGTCTATGGAATATACTACCATATATATGTGATCTATCTGTATCTGGTGAATAATGGTGTTAGGTTTCCCATAGTATTCCAGTCAATTATTATTTTTTAAAAAAATATCAATCATCTACATTTATTTTATTAAATTTTCCTAGATTAAAAATGTGTATACACTTTTCCTCTAAAATATGCATTTTAAGAAATGCATTTATCTATTTTAAATGCTTTTCAACCACATCAATTCTTGATACATATTTCCTTTTTTCTACATCTTTCTAAATAATTTTTAGTAATAATTTTTTAAGTAAACAGTGGTGCAAACTCTACTCTCAGCTTCCTCTGTGTCACAATACAATCTGTTTTGGCAATACATGCATTGTAAATTGATTTTTCAATCCTTAATATAAAGGAATGGGGAGGAATGGGGTAGGTTGAGAATAGGGAGGGAGATATCAAGTTTCTATCATCTTATCTCAAACCAAATTGTCACCTATTTTAAATATAGAAATGTGAACTACTTTAAAGTCATGCTGGTTGTAGACATGCACAACCAATGGTTAGAAATCTGCACATGCACTATATTTAATTTTGTGTATATATTAAGTAAACTCATTAAGAATCAACATGAAAACTGCTTGCTGTACCAATTTAAAAACAAGTATTGTTTTGACTATGGTGATACATGCATTATTTAAAAGTATGCCTTGTAATGTGTTTAGATTTCATTTCTTCCTGATGTCCCTTTCCAAAAATATCTCTATTGTGTTATATTTTGTTGAAGGTAATATAAATTGTTGTAATGTAATAGTCTCCTATTTTCTAATCTGTTGCCTTAACCTCTACACCAGACAGTTCTCGCAGAAAAATTAGCACTTCAAAATATGCTTTGTACAAATTTTAGTCTGCAAATATTCTGAAATTGGTGAATTAAGTCAGGGAATCAATAAAAAGGACAGAGAGGCAATGTTCACAACGCAGGC